TCATGATTGGTGGTTTTTTCCCACGAAACCGTTCTTGAACTGTTGCTTTAAATGCTCCTCCGTTGTACGCAGCTTCAACAGAATCCTAATCTACGAACCGCTGAGCTGTCCTCACAATTGCCCTCAATCAAGGTATGCTAAATTACGGTAAGTGCTAATGCTAATTTGCACACATATACTGGCTTAGATGAAGCCATGAGGAGAGAACGCACGCATCTTCACAAACCGTGAACAGTTTATGACTCCAGTGAGATTTCAAGAAGTATTCAAACTGTATCCTCTATCAAACTCTTCCCAATCGCTGAACCTGGTAAAAAATAGCCCATAAACATTGTGAATTCGTTGGAACTTACTGGTTTCGAAACTTGACAGTTGTGCGTGAGACGGATGAATGGCTCGATGCTGCCCACCTGAATAGATTTGTTCCGAAATGAAAAATAGTTGGGATGAATGAATTGCCAATCACTTACCTCGTCTTCCTGTCCAAAAAGTTCGAACTCGCCTTCAGAGTTTGTGTGCGTCTCTGACAGAAGATCGTTGGGGTCCACTAGAAAACATCAAGATTTCATTGAAACCATTCAAAGCGTAATTTAGCCTAGTTAGAATTCTACTATATATTGATTTGTAATTAAATTTGTGATATAAATGTGTAATGCTAACTACACGTTTCGGGAAGAATGCCGTGTGCTTCACTTACATGTGTCCTTATCGTAAAGCTCGACATGAACATTGGCCAAGCGCTTCTTATTGCATACAGTGATACCCTTGACGGTCACGTTTTGCATTTTGGCCGAAACGGACAGGTAGCATGCAGCCAGGACAGCGAGTAGTACCAGGGATCGCATATTCTGAAAAAAATCAATATGGACGAGCAGGAAATCGGCATGGAAGTGGGGAACAAGTACGACTGAGACTGCTTAGACCAGGAACATCAAGGCAGTGGGCGTGATAGCCGACAGGCGGAGCGGTTTCGGGGCGACATTGGGCGACATCGCTGAAATAGCGTGAAGTGATTCTAACCAGGAAGGTCTTTCAGGGCGTGCCAAGCTTTTTGAAAACGGTCTTTTGCATGATATAGGGGCAGATGCGGGAACCACAGAACCATGTTTAATTTTTCCTGAACGGCCCTCTGAATACCAGAAAAGGGGGTCCCTAGTTCGATTCCTCGTGGTGAACAAATTTTTGCATTTCGAGTTGACGTGCCAAAATTCGCGCAAAATGGAGTTAGCATGAATAATTAGTACCATATTCATGATTAGGACCGTCAGTAACCCTTACAAATAAGACTTTGACTTGAAAATCTGGTGTAAGAGGTGTGACACCAAGCAGCCCCACTGTGGTGTCACACCAAGCAGCCCTTATTTGTGGCGTCACACTTCAGCCAGTTTTTGATCAAAGTCCGGCATTGTGTGAGGGTCACTGAACGGTCTACATTATGAATATGGTTGGTAATGCTGACTCCATTTTGCGCGAATTTTGGAACGTCAACTCGAAATGCAAAAATTTGTCACCACGAGGAATCGAACTAGGGACCTCCCTTTTCTGGTATTCAGAGGGCCGTTCAGGAAAAATTGAACATGGTTCTGTGGTTCCCGCATCTGCCCCTATATCATGCAAAAGACCGTTTTCAAAAAGCTTGTCACGCCCTGAAAGACCTTCCTGGTAAGCGCAACCTTAGCGCCCTTCCGCCAATGACGGTCGTATTCAAAACCGTTCTGCGTCTCAGCCGGCGGGCCCACTGCCTTTAAGGGATTAGTCAAGAATAAATCACGATCATATTGCTTGAGGGATATTTCCTTCTCTTTCATAGCGAAATATCGAAGCGAATGAAAACAAATATCTCGTGATGTGACAAACAAAATAGTTCTGCTGCTGCTTTGATCAAACGATCGCCTTCTTTCAGAATGAGAAGCAGGAAGTGCTTGGTGATGGCCTGTACGTCTAGAATCCGTTACTCGTGCGACTCTCATTCAGTGTTGTAGGGACATGAAGAATAAGAGAATCAATTCGAAGTTGAGCCAACATATCCAGCGGATCGCGTTAAGGCTACTCGAGGCTTCAATCCTTGGAGAACGACCACTCTGAACAACAGGATTGCTCGAGATGGAACCTTGAAAGGGTTATTCGCCCGGAGCCTCCTCTCTGGGATACCACTAACCAATATTGAGTGGCAGCTATGTTTTCAGTCCCACGAAAAGAATTAAATAAGAAATAAGGATTAAATAGTTCTATATTCCAAAGCTGGATTGGAGTTAGTTCAAATGAAATTCCATCATAGCAGCGCATCTCTTACGGCCACAAAGTTCAGGTCTCTCCGGGGTATTCCATTCTGTTTAGGAAAAATTTTAGGAATGTTTCTTTATAATCAAAACAACAGACTACCTTTTGAGAGCCGCTACCTGATCACGCTTTGCAGAAGTTCCTAATTAAAGGAATCTTCCACGGAAAAAGCTCCGCCCTCATTACCACAGAAAACGATACCTTAAAGGAATCTTCCACGGAAAGAGTGATCATTTTGTCTTGTGTGTAGGATTAGTATTATCGAAACTAACGCTTATGTTCCGTTCTTTTTGCTATGCTCATGAGGCTAGGGGCCTAAGGGGTATCGTTTTTCTGGGTAATGGAGGCGGAGCTTTTTCCGCGGAAGATTCCTTTAATCAGCAGCTGGCATTGTCAAAAATTTCGTTTTTGCCACACGAACAACCTGAGATAAATTGGTAGGGTCGAAGCCAGACTCTATGACAATTGTTCTGACATTTGACAAATGGGAGGACTGGGACACATTTGTTCATCAAGCATTCATATGGTCATTCAAAGCGATGGGTATAAGAAGTATAAACGGCAACATTTTTCTACCGCACAATGTTCATGTCTTACTTTAGATAGCGGTCAGTGCCTGCAGTCTAGAATTTAGTTTGAGGGCTACATATTTGCCTAAGTAATTCCTTTTCTTTTTGAAGACCACCTGAAAGATATGCTTACTATCGCCTGACCGCTGGTAACCTTCTGTATGCTCCAGACTCAGGACACAAACAAGATGGGACCCACTTGTTGTTCCTGGAAACTTGCGAAGTACGTACTGCTTTTCTTGCTGTGGGCTACCGTAACCCGCTGAAACACTGCGCGTCAATTGAAGCGCTAAGATGATGTTTGAAGAAGGGTACGAGCTATCCCTTCATGAAAAGCCGTTGAAAAGAAATAATGAGTGGTTTTGTCGTCTGCAACCTTCCGACTTTTCAAACGTCTAACAATAAGTAGGGAACAGTTGTTGAGTTTTTAGTGAGCCTTAGCTCCTATTGAACTGTTGGTTGTTACAGTCGTAAGTTGTATAACTCATATTTCTTGCGTTTGCCTTATGCACAACGTTATAAATAAACAACAAACAATAAACAATAAACGATGTTTTGACTGCGCTCACCAATCACTACACCATGAAAATTCCCTATAACATTTGAAGTCGTGTAGCCGTTTCACCGGCGTGAATGGCAGCTGCAATGTTACTCGAGGCCGGTCATGAATGTTGACAACCTCCGACAACTTTTTTCCAACCCTGATTCAAGATGTAAAAGAAACGGGACGGCCTGCGAGCCAAGAGCTCTGCCAGCGAGTGCCAGGTCTCTTACTGCAGCGCTAGCTTTGCCCGAATCTATTCGTCTGGCTTCTGTTTCCCTGTGCTCCGAAGGAAATACAGAAGCTAACGGAAAGAATTCACCACAACTATTGTAAAGTGAAAAATATTGTAAACAATAAGCATGAATTGATTTGATCGTGTGAAACGCGAACATTGACGAATCTTTCCAGTGGAGTAGCCAAGGAACTAGTGATGAAACAAAGAAAGAGCAAAAGCTGGGAAGATACTGGTCTATCGACTCATCGCCCATCTCTTTTTATACGTCCAGCCGATCGTGGCAGCTGCCGTGCAAATCGGTGAAAACATTGTGCTGCCGTGCTTACGACTTCTAGTCTGCTCAAGCTAACTCTGACTGGAAATATCAAAATACAGGGTGGTAAACACATCGTTGCTTCATTTCTGGGTCCATTAAATCGCACAGAACCGATGTCTGGTCGATGAGGGAACATAAAATGCAAAAACATCGACACTTTTATCAGTATCAGTCCTTTTGTCAGTCCTGAAGTTTGTAAATAGGTAGGTTCCTATTGTCAGGTGAGAGGTAAAAAAGGGCAACATACATGCCCGGAGAAAGTTCAGGTTCAGTTGGGAGTCTCATCTTTCAGGAGCCGCTGTTCAGGATATCACAATTCAATATTCAGTTGTTTGGTTAGACAATCTAAATCTGATTACGCACGTCCTCTTAAATTTTAAATTATTGCCTAGAAAGGTATACCTTCCCTCTTCCATACTGAAGAAGGTTCGAGTATGTACAATACGTAAGAGATCCTTCAAAGAAACGTCAGCGCTGAAGGTTTCATAAGTTTTCTTCATTCGATGGATTTCTTTTCATCATTTATGCCGTAGAATTTCATCGAACTTCGGTCTCTGCAGCTTCAACAACACGCAACAGCACTTCGGGTTCCTATTCGGATTCAGATCTTTCAGAAACAGAAAGTGCAAAAATAAAGGCTCTTGCCGCCTACAAAACAATAAATCCTTTATTGAGAGTATGTGTATTTATTTACAATTCTTTGGAACAATATATGTGATATGAAGCGAGAAGAGCCTTGTAGACGAGAAGATGTGGAAACGATTTGATCGATTTAGCACTTTTCTTTTTCACCATGAACAACGATGTCCAACGTCACGTACGTCATATCGTAGAGGCCACCAATTTTACTCTTCGGCACCTCATAGTCTCCGATGCGAGTACAACCCTGCAATGTTGATGTCAGTCTAGACGAGTAATATTTATCACCACTTCTTCACCTGAACGCGAAGCGTGCATGTCCGCAACATATAACTTGGGAGCTTTAAAGGAATCTTCCACGGAAAAAGCTCCGCCCTCATTACCACAGAAAACGATACCTTAAAGGAATCTTCCACGGAAAGAGTGATCATTTTGTCTTGTGTGTAGGATTAGTATTATCGAAACTAACGCTTATGTTCCGTTCTTTTTGCTATGCTCATGAGGCTAGGGGCCTAAGGGTATCGTTTTTCTGTGGTAATGGAGGCGGAGCTTTTTCCGCGGAAGATTCCTTTAAGTGACATCCATTCGCTACTAATGTACTAACCGAGTGTAGCCCTACACTCCAGCGGTGAATTCTGAAGTGAGCCTTATCTTTCAAATTTTGGGTGATTCCTTTGCGTTCCTGAGATGAGTCATAAACGCTAGAAGGGATGAGGCGTTTGGTGGGGTAGCGAGCGATCTTGAAGCCTGAAGCCATGTTTAGGCCTTTTAAGACGACGTGAAGCGTCGAACAGTTGGCCGCAATAAGATTCCACCCTAGAATCCAATGGCATGGCAAAGCACAAAGCAGTAATAGGTTAACGAATACGCGGTCAAAGTTCAAGATAAGAGAGCTAGAAGCTTACCACACCAGGGGTCAGGGAGTCGCATTTGTGTGTCTGGGAAGGGAGGGGGGTCGCATTGTCGCATTGCGCGCCTTGGTGATTAGTGGCGCAGGGCATAGGTGTGTGCGAAAAAAGTTGCCCTTTCACTGGTTGTATATCTCCCCCCGCTCGACGGCTGTTTTGGAGGAAAAGTGGGTGGAGTTTCGGAGTTTTAGGGAGTTTTTGGGCTGTGTTAACTGGTCTCAGAATCAAATACTATAGAAGAGGGAGAGTCGCGGTGGAGGAAGGCTGGTTGTATTGGGGGGTCGCAACTGGACCCTCTCGAGAGGGGGGGTCGCAAAATCCCGAAAACGTTCGAACGTGACGGTTGACCCTGCATGGAACTCCGTGCGTGGCCCATCCAAAAAGGCCTAAATAAACAACCCCAGCTCAAATTGGTGGGGTCACAGCAATCGGTAGCTAAAATGTGAATGCCGAACAGTTAAAATGGAAAAAAGCAAGAAGTCGCCGATGAAGCAGTAAGCGAGGACTCGCGTAATTCACGTCGCGCGTCATAGGGTGTGCGCGAGGAATCTCGTCCACTGGCTCACACTAGCCGTCCTAGTTCACTTGACGAGGCCCACCATTGTAGAGCATTTTCAGTTGGGGACAACAGCACACCTGTGGAACTCGTGAGCTACTCTATCCTACCCCAAAGAAAGATTGTTCAAGACGACCTTATCTAAGGTTGTTACTTTGAGCAGTTCACCCATGATTACTCGCCTAATTGTTTTATAATGTGGATCCGAGAAACATTGGAGGTCAAGGAAAGTTGGATCCTAAAAAAGCCTGACAACGTTTTTCAAAAAGTTGCATCTGATAATTACCATGGAGGAACGGAAACAGGAAGTAGAAAACGAAAACCATTACAGTGGGTATTACAGTAGGGACTTTTCCGAGTTTTTGCGAATACCAGCGATTCCGTCTGCGTATAAAAAGTCAGTACAAGGGATTGTGATTGATAAGATAGGTTATGATCACATTTCAACTCTCTCCATTTGCTCGTTTTGACCAATTACTCAAGTGCATGGCGAAAATCGAGTGCTTCTCTTCACGTCCTTTCCTCCAAGATTCTTCTCTTCTCACTGGTGTAATCATTCTACAGACTTCTAAACTATTTTCTATTGGAGGCTTTCTCTAATCTCTGAAGAAAGTACGATTGAGGCCTGATTACGTCCAGCCTAGCAGCCAATTTGACTAATGGCCGCCAGCTGTTGACCGAATGTTTGTGCGTGTGTATCTGTGTCTAAGATAGTTTCACCGGACTTTACAACGAAACGTTTATCACCTCGAAGCTATCGCGATCTGTGTTGGCATTCCAATCACACCTCTGACTCAACTATCGTTGTTGTGTCAGATATCGGATGAAAAACAGCGAGATAGGGGTTCAAATATCACGTCTAGTCCTCAGTATGAGTCACTAGTATTGTGAAAAGGTCAGAACCGAGAGACGGTCCCAGAAAATAGGCATCCCGACTACAATGCCGACGCGTAATCTCGAGGTTAGCCCGATTATGCTAGAGGGTCGATCCTGCATGACCATGGTGAACGAATAGAGAGAATGGAGAGCTTCGGAGAGGAGCTTCACTTCACAGCCGAAGATGAAGTAGACCACGAGACTACGGTTTGACTTAATATGACATGGATGCGACCGGCGCGATCGGAGACGTTACGGGAGGTCCTAAGAGACGGAAGTTTGTACTACTCGGAAGTACTCTCCATGGCAGCCACTGCCCTTTTGTGGATGAGAGGTCACACAGTCGTTCGTTGCCGCGAAGGGTGCGCCCATCGCTGCGAAGCTAACCCCAACCCTGGCCAGTGTCGCCAGCCCTCTGCCGTACTTCGTTTTCATAGTGAAAGGGCAATTCACGTTAAGCCGCTCTATTTTCTATATTTTTAGGTTATGAGATAAATGAAAGGGAGATATTTGTTGGAGTAATACCGGCTATACTGATCAGCACGTGCAAGCGATTTCGTCTTGGTCACTGGCAGTCCAGAGCGGAAATCATCGGGAAAGCTGGGTCCAATTTTTTGGATCTAACGTCGTTCCCTTTTAAATTTTTCTTGACCAGTGCACCCTCTACGAACTCTACTCTCATTTCGGATGGGGCAACGACTTTTTCATGCTATCTGCCTACAAGGATCACTTATAGTGCAATGCGGATGGATGTGACGCAACAGAGTAATGAACGGGGCGTGTGCCCGGCTCCTGTCTTGGCGAGAATCATTGGCTCCGGTGCTACAGGCATCCCTTCGAGAAGGTCTCAAGAGGAACAGGAAGGAAACGACTTAAACGTTGGGGGATCAGGCAAACGA